GAGGCAGGAGACTCGCTTGAGCCCAGGAGTTGGAGGTTGCTGTGAGCTGTAATATGGCACTCTGCCCAGGGGGACAGCTTGAGGCTCTGTCTCAAAAAAAAAAAAAAGTTCCATTGTGGGCTTGGTGACACAGTGGTTATGGAGCTAGCCACATACACCGAAGGTGGCAGGTTTGAACCCAGCCCGGGCCAGCTAAACAACAGCAACAAAAATAGCCAGGTGTTGTGGCAGGCGTCTGTAGTCCCAGCTAATTGGGAGGCCGAGGCAAGAGACTCGGTTAAGGCTCGGCACCTGTGGCTCAAGTGGCTAAGGCGCTAGCCAAATACACCGAAGGTGGCAGGTTTGAACCCAGCCCGGGCCAGCTAAACAACAGCAACAAAAATAGCCAGGTGTTGTGGCAGGAGTCTGTAGTCCCAGCTCAGGGAGGCCGAGGCAAGAGACTCGGTTAAGGCTCCACACCTGTGGCTCAAGGGGCTAAGGCGCCAGCCACATACACCTAAGGTGGCGGGTTTGAATCCAGCCTGGGCCTGCCAAACAACAATGATGGCTACAACCAAAAAATAGTCAGGTGTTGTGGCGGGCACCTGTGTTCCCAGCTACTTGGGAGACAGAGGCAGGAGACTCCCTTGAGCCCAGGAGTTGGAGGTTGCTGTGAGCTGTGATGCCATGGCACTCCACCCAGGGGAATAGCTTGAGGCTCTGTCTCAAAAAAAAAAAAAAAAAAAAAAAAGAGAGAGACTTGGTTAAGCCCAAGAGTTTGAGGTTGCTGTGAGTTGTGACATCACAGCACTCTACTGAGAGTGATATAGTGAGATTCTGTCCAAAAAAAAAAGGGGGGGGGAGGGGGCAGCGCTTGTGGCTCAAAGGAGTAGGGTGCCAGCCCTATATACCAGAGGTGGCAGGTTCAAACCCGGCCAGCCCTGGCCAAAAAAAAAAAAAGTTCCATTCTGGGTCGGGTGAGGTAGCTCACACTTGTAATCCTAGCAACTCTGGGAGGCCGAGGCAGGGGGATTGCCTGAGCTCATAGGTTGGAGAACAGCCTAAGCCAGACCAAGACTTCATTTCTAAAAATAGCTAGGTGTTGTGGTGCATGCCTGTAGTCCCAGATACTTGGGAGGCCAAAATAGGAGGATCACTTGAGCCCAAGAGTTTGAGGTTGCTGTGAGCTATGAAGCCATAGCATTCTAGCAAGGGCAACAAAGTGAGACTCTGTCTAAAAAATAAATAAAGAAACAGCTGAGACTGGTCAAGAGAGACAGCCCAATCCTCTTTTTTTTTTTTTTTTTT